ACCTGTCAGGATGGGTAAACTGAGGACTCTGCCCTATTCTTGCTTCAGCAGAACTTCTGAGGTGCTTAGACAGCCTGGCTAGTGGACAGCTGTGCCCGCAGTCAGGTCAGCCCCCTCGTGAGGGTCTGTCCCTTCCCGGGGGTTCCAGACACTCGGGGCCTGGGACAAGATCATCTGGTCCCCCTGGCCCTGGCAGGCCCCTCTCCTGTTCCATCACCCTGGCCCTGGCCCACCCTCCAGACATCTTCAGAGCCTCACACTATTCTGCCAGGCCCTCCCCTGCACTCAGAGCCTTCTTCCCCTGACCCCCACCCCAACAGCCACCCCTTAGTGACCTGGGACCTTGTCACTCACCCCCCAGAAGTTAAGTCACCCCCCTCCTTTCTATTCATACCGTTTCTACCCTTTCTATCTGAAAAGATTAATTAGTGCCTCACCCAAAACAGAAATCAAAAAGCCTGTGAGGGGCCTCCCTGGTGGTGCAAGGGGTTAAATGCCAGCACTATGAAACTATCTGCAGCCACTGCAGCGCAAGTTTGATCCCTGGTCAGGGAGCTACCCACATGGCACAGCAGACCCCTCCCGTCTTGCTCGCTGCTCCCCTCAGCAGTGTATTTCGTCAGTCTGCCTGTTCTGTTCCCCGCTCTGTCTCTGGTGGATCCTCTCAACCCCTCACCTCTGGCCTGCACCCTGCTTCTGTATGCATAAATAAATAAATCTTTAAAAAAAAAAAGCCTGTGAAATGTCACTGTTTCAATGAAAAATTTTGATATGTCAAAAAGTCACTCAAAAGTTCATAAGGCAACCGTAGAAAATCTATTTTTCCAGACAAGGTGGCAATGGTCACAAACATCCTTAACAGCACAGGGCTTTGATAAGTACTGGCACCAAAGAGGTGGAGGGCCTGAGCAGGCCAGTTCTCAAAACAATGAAACAAGTAATTAATAAGTGAAGAAAAAAGTCCACTTCTGTCATACTCAAGGAAAATAAAACCATTTGAGATGGGCCTCCCTGGTGGTGCAAGGGGTTAAGACCCAACCTATGGGGCCTCCCCGGTGGCTCAGCGGTTGAGTGCTGGGTTGCGAAGCTGCCCGAAGCCTCCGCGGCACCGGTTCGATCCCCGGCTGCTCCCCAGCCACTGAAGGAGGGTCCCACATGGCACGCAGACCTCTCCTGCCGCCCGCTGCTCCCCTCAGCAGTGTACTTCGGTCCTTCTGCCTGCTCTGCTCCCCGCTCTGGCTCTGGTGAATTCTCTCACCCTCCCGTGCTTCTGACTGTACCCAGTGCTTGTATAAACAAAAAACAAACAAACAAAAAAAACCAAACAAATAAATAAAACATGCCTCTATAAAAAAAAAAAAAAAAAAGACCCAACCTATGAAGCTGTCCGCAGCCTCTGCAGCACAAGCTCGATCCCTGGCCTCCAGGGAGCAACCCACACGGTGCAGCAGACCTCTCCTGTCTCCCCGCTGCTCCCCTCAGCAGTGTATTTCATCAGTCTGCCTGTTCTGTTCCCTGCTCTGTCTCTGGTGAATCCTCTTGCCACCTCCCCACCCCACCGGCTCCAAACACACCTCTGGCCTGCACCCCAGCTCTTGTATGCATCAATAAATAAATCTTTAAAAAACCCATTTGAGACAATGTTTCCCTTATTACCCATCTCACTAGCAAAGTAGACGGCTGCTGGGCAGGGGCTGTCTTGTGCATGACTTCTAGGGACACACAAGAATCAGATGAGTCTTGTTGGAGCAAAAAAGTCTTAAAATCACCACTGCCTTTTAACCTGTCAGTTCCACCTCTGGAGGTTACCGAGAAGCATGGAGCATGTGGTTGTAACAATGCAATGGCAGCGTGATTGTGAAACAAAAAGAAAAAAGAACACCATTCATCATTTCCCCCTCTCTTTCTTGGCCATATCCTCCTGGGCCTATTTTATGTTATATTTTATTTAAATTAGGAACTCCCTGTGCCAGGACATAATTTTGTATTTTTTTTACCTTAATAGAAAAGCAATTCATAAGAAATAATCTGAGCTGTGGTGAGTCTGGGGGTTGGCTCGGGCCCCTCCTGGCGCTGTGACTGGTGAAAGGGTCTTTCCTGCCCTGAGGGGCGGGTCCTTGGGTGGAGGCCCAGGGAGGCGGGTGAGCGCGCCTTGGAGAGAAGCTGCCCGGGCAGTCCGTGTTCCTGGGAAGTGGCATGGAGGTTGGGTTACAGGTAACCGGAGCTGCCAGCCAGAGCCCAAAGTCTGGGCTGAGAAATCCTTTCTAGGGAGGATATGGGGTCAACGAGGGGCCCAGGCGCCTGCCTGCCCCATCAGCCACCCTGCTGTCCGCTGGGCTGCCAGGACCTTCCAGGGCAAAGGTGTCCTGGGACCTTTAACACCACAAGGCCGGGTGACCCAGAAAACACCCTTCTGTGGAAAAGCTGCCGCATTACCTGTCTGTTCCTCTGTGTTTCCTGAGTTCCCTCCCCACGTGGGCTCCTCCCTCCCTGGGGCTCTCCTCCCAGGCGCCTCTGCCAAGCAGGACGTCTCCCCCTCAAGGTGGCCACGAAAGCAGATTCACCCTGGCCTGGCTGGAGCTTGAGCTGCTGCCTCCTATGACCCCCTAACTTGGAACCTTCCCCCAAATCAAGCTGCCTCCAAATCACCCCAGGTCTGGGGTCCGGCTCTGGGGGTGCAGGCCCGAGAGGTATCTTCCCCTCGGCCCTGTGTACCTCCTCCACAGTCAGTCATTTCCATTCCCTCCGTTTTTTTTCCTCCTAATATGGCTCTTGGCCCTGAGGATCCTTGTCCACCTGCATCCTCCCATCTCAGCCCCCCTCCCTCGGGGCCTCTTCAAGAACTGCCTGACTGGTCAGAGATCAGGTTGTGCAGACACAGTCCAGTGTACCTGAGAGCGACACTGCCTCTTCCCTCCTCCTAGCCAGCTTAGAGGGGCTGCCGCTTTCTTTTCCAGCCATAGGTCCAGGTTTCTGGGGCCCCCCTCAAGTGCCAAACACAGATGTGGGCTGCCCTGGCTGGAGGGGTGGGGAGAGGCCTGGGGCCTGCCTCCCAGGACAAGTGCTCGCCCCTGCAGGATCTGCACAGAGGTGGACCCTTCTGGTTACCCCAAAATTATCCGGGCGCTTTGGGCAAAAAGTAGTTCCCAGGGGTCCTGGCAGTCCTCTGGAGAATCTTTGTGGGTGGGAGTGGGGGCGTCTGTGCTTATGAACAGGGGTCCCAGACATGGTGCTGGTCCGCATCTCCTCAGCACCAGCGTCTCTCCAACAGGGGCCTGTCCAGGACCTGGGGGTCTAACTGCCTTCAGCCAAATCCCCCTCTCCCTGCCCCCCTCTTCCCTTTGCTCCCTCAACCCTTTCTCCTGAAGGCCACCTACACCTGCTCACATCCTACCCAGCCCACCCTCAGTGAACCCTACACCTGCCTGACCCTTCTCTGAACAGCTCCGGAGCTCTCTGTGCTGCTTATCAGGCTGATAAGCATTTACTTTTTGTTTCTACTTTTCGTTTCACAGGTAATATAAGACTCCATCTGCACTGTAAAACGATCCAGGGGACCCTGTTGGGTGCAAGCCCTTTGATCCTCACCTGTCCCCCGCTCTCACACCTGGGTAACTGGGGTCAGGTGGGGTGTCCTCCTGACCCTTGTTAATGTATTTCCTGCCTGGATCTGGAAAGAGAATTCTTTCCTCCCACCTATGACCCGGGCCCTCTGGCCTCCCCACAGCCTGTGACCTCGAGCACTGCCCCCCCTCCAGCTTCTCCTGTCTCCTTCCCCTGTCTCCCCTTCCCTGGGGCTCTGGGGAGCATCAAATGCACACACAGACACACCCACAGGTGTTTCTTTCTTGAAAATATCTCTTTTTGGATCCCTGCAGGCCTTTCATCTTCTCCCCTGCCAGTCTCCTTCCTTTCGAGACACCAACCTCCTCATCCAACGGTCTCCCTGCGCTGACCCCTCTGAGGGCAACAGCTCCCACCCAGGTGCCCCCATCCCCCAGGGGCCAAGTCCAGGGGTGAGTGAAGGTTTCAGAAAACAGTGCTGCTGCCCGCACCAGCTTCTGCAGAAGTGTTCTAGCCTTAGAGGAGGGGCCTGGCCATCCACCTGGAGTCTCCACTCCCAGCGAAGCCCCTCAACACTGGCTCACGTGGGAAGTGGTTGAGCACCACCAGGCAGTGTCGCAACGGAGTGCCCCATACAATGTCTCAAGTTCACCTCTGTTTCACCCTAGATTTTGTGAGCTTTGGCAGCTTTATTCATGGGGGGAGGGAGGGGCCAGATTCTGGGGGTGCAACACATTTCATTGCCTTGAACATCTGACAACTTGGGCTTCCAGAAACCCCAGAGCCCACCAAAGATGGGCATCTAGCTTGGCCACTTAGTACAGAGGTGGGGGAGGGGGCGCTTCCTAAAGATTCCATCTCCTCTGAAGGAGGAAGAACAGGACGTGGGGCTTAGACGCTGCCTTCTTTCTCCTACTTTAATGCCATAAAAAAAAAGCAAACAAGATTTTAAATTATGCAACATTCCCCAAAGAGCACTGTATAGTCTCCTGTTGCTTCTAGACCGAGTTACCAAGTTTATGTGACTTAGAACAGCACAGGATTGTTCTCTAACAGTTCTGGAGGTCAGAAGGCTAAAATGAAGGCGACAGCATAACTGCTCTTCTGGAACCTTCAGAGAATTATCTGCTTCCTGACTTTGTCCAGCTTCCAGAGACCACCTGTCTTCCTTGGCTCATGGTCCCTCCTTCCATCTTCTGAGTGTACATCCCTCCCCGCTCTGCTTCCGCCCTCACATCCATCTCCCAGCTCTGATGCTGACCGCGCCCCCCCATCTCTGTCTTCTGAGACCCCTCATGATTTTACATTGGGTGCTCCCCATCTCTAGGTCCTTAACCACATCTGTGAAGCCCCTAACCCACCTACAGTAGCACATCCAGAGGTTCTGGGGATTAGGACAGATCAACGTCCTTGGTGGCTGTTATTCACCTACCGCAAGTGTGAGATGTCAGATCGTGGCCCTCTGTGTCCACCTCCAAGATCAAACAGATGCTAAGATTTTGCCTTGTTTTCTTCAGAGCTGTTTTTAAGAAAAATAAAACATGACAGAAATGTTTCTCTCCTCCTTCTCTGTTCAGCAGTGACCACTCCTCCTGAGGCTCGTGGAAACCATCCCAGGTGTCCTTGGCTGCATAGAACAAATGCATTTCTAAGCAGGATGGCACCATTTTTGAGTGATTTGAAACTTGATGTAAAAGGAATTGCTGTGTGTATGTGCTGCAGCAATCTGCTTTTCTTCCTTTTTTTCTTTTTTAAAGATTTATTTACCTATATAAGCACTGGGTACGGTCAGAAGCATGGGAGGGTGAGAGAATTCACCAGAGCCAGAGCGGGGAGCAGAGCAGGCAGAAGGATGGAAGTACACTGCTGAGGGGAACAGCGGGCGGCAGGAGAGATCTCTCGCGCCATGTGGGATCCTTGCCAGTGGCCGGGGATCGAACCGGTGCTCCAGAGACTACAGGCAGCCTTGCAGCCCAGCGCTCAATCGCTGCGCCACCAGGGGAGGCCCTCTTTTTTTTTTTTTTTAAAGATTTTGCCTTCTATTTTTGCATAGAAGAACTGGGATGCAGGCCAGAGATACAAGGGGGAGGGGTGAGAGGATTCACCAGAGACAAAGTGGGGAACAGAACAGGCAGAACTGCTGAAATACACTGCTGAGGGGAGCAGCGAGTGAGACAGGAGAGGTTTGCTCTGCCATGTGGCTTGCTTTCTGGCCGGGGATCGAACTCATGCTGCAGTGGCTGCGGGGAGCTTCATAATGCTGAGACTTAACCTCTTGTGCCACCAGGGAGGCCCCAGATTTACTATTTTTTAAAAAACGAGTTTTCGTCCATGTTTTCCAGTCACTCTGCTCTGTTCCGAATCTTTTCTTGATGTTAGGCAGTTGGGACCTTTCCTCCACCTTGACCCTGAACAGCAAATCCACGCAGGAGCTTTCTGTGCTCTGCAAGGTAGCACCCCTGCCCCGCCAACCTGCCAGTTGCCTCTCTGTGGAGTTCCCCAGATCCATATGGCCCTCTGCCACCCTGGCCTCTGTGCTGGCCCTGGCAGAGCTTTTCCCTTTACTGAGCACCCCCATCCCCACCCTCACCTCCCACCTGCCACCCCTCTATCTCCACCCCCTGCCACTTTTCTGATGGGTGACTGCAGTGGGTTAACTGGAGCTCCCTCGGCGCTGGGCAGTACCGCTGAGCTACCTGGTCCTCATCACGAGCAATTCCTCTGCCTGCTGCCCCTCAACACCCAGAAATGGTGTCCTCCTGAGCCGCGTCCAACCACCGTTTTCTCGGCTCTCGGCTCTGGGCTCTGACCCGGCAGCCTGTCGAAACTGGGATACAGCCACTGACTGTGTCACCGAGACTAAGCGGTGAAGTTGGCCTTGGCCTTTCAGAGCACAAAAGAGGGAGAAAAGCTTTTCTAAACTTCTCTGAGACTTGCTTTCACAGACACAGCAGACCCTGGAGGCTTGTGCAGCGACCTTGAGCTGAGCTCCAAGGCCGTTAGAGCAGGAAGACAGGGACGCGGAGGAGGGGGCTCCCCAGGCCAGGGGCCACCAACCGACACACGACACCGGAAACTCCAGTCACCTGGCGGAAAGCCCGCCCCGCAGCGTAGCCTTGTCCCCATGGCTCTGCCCTTAGCCCACCCTCCACCCAATAAAATTTAACTCCTCGGCTCTCACCCCTGGTCCCCATAATGACCTAACCTCATCCCCTTTCTCAGTCAGGGAGGCAGAGCAGAGTTACCTCCTTGCCCATCCATTCCCAATAATGTTCCTTTCTTGTCTCAAAGGCCCTGCTGTGGGGATCTGGTCTCGCCGCTTGGGTAGAGCCCACTGTTCTGGAACACACGCCACCATCCTGGATAGTCCCTGGCCCCCAGCAGCCACGGCCTTGCCCGGGATGCGTCCCTGAGAAAAACGGGATTGAGGGAGCACTTCCCAGGGCGACCAGCCACCGGCTTCCAGGGGAACACTGAGTGCGGCCAGACGTGTCCCCGTCACCTCTACTGGGGGGCCGTGGCTGCGGGTGCATCTAGGGACCGACATTTGCACATTTTAGCTTTTGGGCCGAACCCCTTGCCCAGGGGTGCGTTAGTAGCAGCCCCGTCCTAATAATCATAAACTAATGGTGAACGGCCCTCGCATGCCCACCCTTGAGAAGGAGCTGGGAGTTCACACCGGCCAGCGGGCAGGAGGCTGCTGGCGTCCCGGCGACCTCTAAAGAGTGCGCAAAGGTCCGCGTGGCTCCCGGCTGGAAGCAGCTTCCCAGAGAGGAGCCCAGACCAACAGCGCCCAGGGGCACCCGCCCTCGCCGGCCTCCTCACAGGCTACGGGAAGCACGAGATGCCCGCCAGGTGCCCGGGGCAGAGTGTCAAGCCAACCCCAGAGGAAATCCCCCAGAAACCCAGGCAGTTGAAATCCTTCCTCAAGGGCTTGGTTCCCAAAAACAAGGGTTTCCTAATGGAGCTCAGAGGGCGTCCTGGGCGGCCACCGGGGCCGCTCCCTGGGGGGTTGGCGGGGCTGGGTTGTCCGTGGCCTCTAAGAGGACAGGGAGGTTCATGGTCACAGCCGGCGCAGACACTCACCTGCAGCTTTTGCAGATTCTGGTCTCTGGCTGGGGAGTCATCTCGTTGGAAATCAGGCTGTCAGCTAGAAATGAAGATAGAGTTTTTTTGAGATTTGCTCAAATCAAAGTTTTTCTTCATCAAAAATGACATCCCAGGGCCTCCCTGGTGGTGCAAGGGGTAAGTCTCAGCACTCGAAGCTATGGGCAGCCACTGCAGCACGAGGTCAATCCCCGGCCAGCGAGCTACCCACGTGGCGCAGCAGACCTCTCCTGTCTCCCCGCTGCTCCCCTCAGCGGTGGATTTCAGTAGATCCGCCTGTTCTGCTCCCCACTCTGTCTCTGGTGACTCCTCTCACCCCCTGCACCTCTGGCCTACACCCCAGTTCTTGTATGTATAAATAAATAAAATAAATCTTTAAAAAAAATGAAATCCCACTAGTCAGCGACGCTTCATAGTTCCCGGCAGCACACCTGTCAGAGACCGTGGGGCAGGCCCTCTCCACCCTTAATGCTGTGAGCGGAGCAGTGGGGTCCATCCCTGCGCTGCCTTGGCACCGCCTTCCTGGTAAGGTGGTTAAGCAGCAAGGCCCAGGGATCCTCTGGCCTCACTAGCCCGTCTGGCTGTGTCGAAAGATCTGCAAGAGAGGGCCTCTCATCCCTCACCGATGGTGACCATGTGCATTTCTTCTCAAGGCTACATGCCCTCACTTCAGTTGGTAGCTAGAAATCAGCCTGGTGGGAGTATGTGCACCACAAAGTTGGCAAACACTCTATCACTCAGGGCTCTTTGCTGGGTGGCAGGGAGGGGAGCGCTTAGAAGAGTATCTGGGAAAAACAAGAGACACCAGAAACAGTTACGGGTGCAGAGTGGGCCTGGAGAGCAAGGGTCTTGGAGAGAGGTTTTTCTTTTTCTTTCTGAATTTTCATAATTATTTTTTAATTATGCATAATTATTTTTTTAAAAAGAGAACTTTCTTGTTAAGAACAAAGGCTTCCTGCCGTGTCTGTTAATCCCACACCATTAACTGGAAACTGCCTGGAGCCCGGCTGTCTGGGTGAGGCGGACATCAGAGCCCAGAGAGGGGTCCTCATGGTGCCCCAGCAGGACAGTGGGGTGGGGGACTGGGTGGAGTGCACCAGCTGGCAGGCCTTCTAGAACTTCTGCCAAGTCAGAGAGGAGAGCTGAAGTAATGCCGGACCCTGAGCCAAGATGTCAGGCCGAAATTCCAGTCACCAAATTCTAAGGACCAAGCAGAAAAATGGGTATGAAGATAAGAGCTCCCACAGGTGTAACAGCGGAGGTGGGGGACAGTGGAGGTGGGGGACAGTGGAGGTGGGGGACAGCAGAGGTGGGGGTGCTTGATACAAGGGCAGTGGCACAGGAGGATATTTACAGGGTGGGCTGCAGATGGTTTTTGAGGCCATTCCTGAGACTGTTTCTTCTATAGCTTACATGAAAAGGGGACCCGGGCTCTGCCCAGAAGGGAAGGAAGGCAAACTGGGGCAGAGAGGGGACAGGCACAGACAGGCTCCCAGCCTGGGGAAAGGGCCCCACCTCTCCTGCTCCCTGGGGAGTCGCCACCTGCAGTAAACAAGTCCCAGGGAATGAAGCAGGGCTCCAGGCGTAGTCCAGGAACCTCAGCATGCTCTAGGGAGGACTCCAGAGGCCTGTTCTGAGTCTGGGCAGGGATTTCATAGGAGTTTGGAGGGTTCCAGAAACTCTGAGCAGAGATAATGGGGCACCAGGGTGGCCATCGCTAGGAAAATCCCCCCAAAATGCAGCTGGATGCAGGATCTGGAGGGCAGCCCTGAGAAAGGCTGGTAGGACCTCACAGATGCGGGGCCTGGGGGAGCATGCAACCCCTCCCTGTGGGCTGGATGCTTGAGGCAGGAGACTCTCCAGGAAAGGGGACATGGGGGACAGGAGCATCCATGTGCCGGAATGCCAGGAGGCTGGGGGAGGGACTGGGTGATGGAATGGCCGCTCCCCTGCCAACAGGCAGATGCCAGTCTGTACCCTGCAGGACCCTCAGATGTTTCCCAGCCCCACCTACAGAGTAAGCCGCGCCCTGCAAAGTTCCCTCCTGGAGGCACCCTGAGCATCTTTTTTTTCTCTTTCTTTTATTTAAACAGAGGTGTAACTGACATACATCATCTTAGTTTCAGGTGGAGAACGTGATGTGACATTTGCATCCACTGCAACGTCATCACCAAATTCGTCTATTTATCATCTTTTTTCTTCCCACTGTCCCTTACAGCCCTTTGACCATTCTCCTGCCTCCTCTCTCTTAACTTCAGAAATCTCATTTCATTTATTAGCGTCTGTTAGTGTTTATAAGTATTTTTGCCTTGTCGAATCATCCACCTTCTAACTGTCCAGTATTTGTCTTTGGCATCCTGACATGCTTCACTGCACGCAATTCCCTCCAACTCCTTCCATTCAGCTGTGAACAGTAACATTTCATCCTTCCCACTGGCTGACTAGTATCCCATGGTGGACAGAACACGCCTCCTTGATCCAGTCGTCTACCAGTGGACCCTTAGGGTGTTTCCATGGCCGGCTACTGCACTTAATGCTGCAATGAACACTGTAGAGCGTGTACTTTTTGAGTTGCTGGTTTCATTTGGGTGGATGGCTGAGAGCAGGATCGCCGAATCATATGGTATTTCCATTAGGTTTTTTTTTTTTTAATTTTTAGTTTTTTTAAGTTAATTCCAGATTGCTTTCAAAAATGACTGCACAGGGGGCTCCCTGGTGGTGCAAGGGGTTAAGCACAGTACTGTGAAGCTATTCACAGCCTCTGCCACGGAGCAATCACCGGCCAGGGAGCTACCCACATGGCGCAGCAGACCTCTCCTGTCGTGCCCGCTGCTCCCCTCAGCAGTGTGTTTCAGTCAGTCTGCCTGTTCTGTTCCCCACTCTGTCTGGTGAATCCTCTCACTCCCTCACCTCTGGCCTGTACCCCAGCTCTTGTATGCATAAATAAAATAAATCTTTAAAAAGAAATGACTGCACCAGCCCACGTTCCCACCAACAACTTAATAGTGCTCCTCTTTCCCCACATCATCTCCAGGACTTGTGGTGTTTCTTAAATATGTGCCTTCCTCCAGGCTGTGAGACGGCACCTCACTGTGGTTTTGACCTCCATCTCCCTTATTAAAAACAATGATCAACATTTTTCAATCTATTGGCCGTCTGAATTTCCTCTTCAATTAATTGTCCATTCAGATCTGCTGCCCATTAACGATATTTTTGTAGCGACTTTCAAAGTTGTAACGCCATATTGTTATCCCCATGACTTATTCATTTTTTCTTTTTACAGGAGATATTTATTTAAAGTAATACATTTGCAGCTCAGATAAGTTCTAAATTGTACATTCCAGGTTTAAGCGGCTTCATAAAAATTCTTTGAGGACAGCTGCAGTCACAGATTTCGACTGCAGGATTATTTCTTTGCTCATTCTTCTCTCTCTTTTCTTTCCTGAATAACTTTCTTCAGATATGGTTCAAGGTGGAAGTTTTCCTCCTCATATTTCGTTCACTGCACTTTAGGCTACACCTGCTACCTAAAGATCACGTCCAGGGCTCTCTTAATACGAAACATCCTGTCATAAAGGTTCTTAGGAAGTTTTCTTGCAGCTTCTTCTTTTTTTTAAACACAATTTTTGACACCCAGTAAGTTTTCTTTTTATTTATTTATTTATTTGTTTGTTTGTTTGTTTGTTTATACATGCACTGGGTATAGTCAGAAGCGCGGGAGGGTGAGAGAATTCACCAGAGCCAGAGCGGGGAGCAGAGCAGGCAGAAGGACCGAAGCACACTGCTGAGGGGAGCAGCGGGCGGCAGGAGAGGTCTGCGCGCCATGTGGGACCCTCCTCCGGTGGCCGGGAGCAGCCGGGGATCGAACTGGCGCTGCAGAGGCTGCGGGCAGCTTCGCAACCCAGCGCTCAACCGCTGCGCCACCGGGGAGGCCCTTCTTTTTTTTTTTTTATTTTTTTTTAAGATTTATTTATTTGTATAAGAAGCAGGGTACCGGTCAGAGGTTTGGGAGGGTGAGAGAATTCACCAGAGAGAGCAGGGAGCAGAACAGGCAGACGGGCTGAAGACACTGCTGAGGGGAGCAGCGGGCGAGGCAGGAGAGGTCTGCCACGGCATGTGGGTTTCTCCCTGGCCGGCCGGGAATTGAACCGTGCTGCAGAGGCTGTGGACAGCTTCACAGTGCAGCGCTCAACCCGCTGCGCCACCAGGGAGGCCCTTCTTCTTTTTTAAAAAAGATTTATTTTATTTATTTATGTATACAAGAACTGGGTGTATGCTGCAGAGGCTGCGGGTAGCTTCATAGTGCTGTGTTAACCCCTTGCGCCACCAGGGAGGCCCCAATATTTCACTCTTTATCACAGCTTAGTAGTATTCCATTAGAGATATATCATCATTTATTGCTTGATGATAGGGATACATTTCTGAGAAATGTGTCATTAGGTGATTCTGGTGTTGTGTGAACACCATAGAGTGTAATTACAAACACCCAGGTGGGACAGCCCACCACACACCTAGGCTCCCTGGCACAGCCTGTCGGGACCACCATGGTATATGAAATTGTCAGTGGGACTGAAATTCTAAGCGATGTGTTCATGTTTCTAGTACATCTTTATTCATTCCCCTATCGATGGACACTTTATTTCCGTATGACCCCTTTCTTTCTAACTTGCTGCTAAAGTCCTTCAATTTTTGATACATTAGACACATGAATCTCTTATCACTGCCACAGTATTTTTCCTAACCCCGCCCATACTGCTGAGACTTGAACCCCCCTAAAATGCTGCTGGCCTATTGCTTAGTTATAGACACCCCCAAAAGGCTTGTATCAGTTACAGGTAATTAGGTAAACTAAGTCAGCTTCTGCTGACATTTGCTGACCGTGTGTTGAATGCTAAGTTCACATGGACCTCACTAAGTCCTAATAGGCAACCAATTCAGTGACTTGAAGGCACGTGATATAGCTAACTCACCTCACAAGCCTGTGTGGGAGCCAGGCCCCATCATGAGATATTCAGAGGAAGGCCTGCCTAGCCTGTGACCCATTTTACCAACCCTGAGTCTTGCTGTGGGCCGTGCTGAGCTCTTAGGATGTTGAGAGGGCCTGGCCCTGAGGGGAGGAGTCAGGCGCATGACTGTGGTGCCACTATAGGCTGTGGGCCCCAAGGACAGCCCTTTGACAGTATCTCTTGCACCTAGCAGGAACCCAGCACTTAGTAAATACTCAATAAAAAATTAGCAATGGAGCTTCCCTGATGGTGCAGAGGTTAAAGTCACATGGCTATCAAGCTATCACCAGCCACTGCGGCATGAGTTCGATCCCTGGCCAGGGAGGTGACCCACATGGCACAGCAGACCTCTCCTGTCTCACCCGCTGTTCCCCTCGCAGTGTATTTCAGTCAATCTGCCTGTTCTCTCACCCCCTCTCCATACATCTGGCTGATACCCCAGTTCTTGGATGCATGAATAAAATAAATCTTCAAAAAAAACAAAAGATGGGACATGGGCGTGCCCATGTCTTTTTATCATCAAGTGCGGCTCCCGCTTGCAACTGTGGCTTCTGCTGCGTGGACAGGCGGGATCTGGCTGTGTGTGGCTCCCACTTACACTCTGTCTCCGCTCAGTGGAGGCTATCTTGGGTAGGGCAGGTGGCATC